TCCAGACTTTACCTGCTCTGTTGTACAGTTTTGTCCAGGGTAAATCAGATAAGTCAGTAAATGTTAGGTATCTCACAGAGAACATGCTGTGCTCGAGCCTCCTCCAAGTGTGCATCAGTAGGAGTCATCTGGACAGGAAGCCTCCCACAGTGTGATGGCCATAAACAGCCACTACAGCAGCACTCACACACCGCCTCCATGCTTATTTGTTTGATAAATGAGGCCAGCGGCTGGATGAAATCTATGCGGCTAATTGTCTGTGGGTATCTGGCCAATGTACACGTAACCATTAGAGATCCAGTGAAATAATATGCACAGCCGGGCCGATCGATTGTGATAAGCACGTTCCCCAGAGCTGGATGTCTCTGCAGGAACTTTCTTCACACAGATTTGATGCATGATGCAACAAAGCATAAAGTACCTGAGGCAATTTAAAACCTTAAATGCACTTGTGCATCTACTTCAAAATATTGCTGACCCTCTGGTTGGCTTTTTATAAAGGATTGTTGCTTTGACTATATTTTTCCCTTCAAGTTTGTCTGGCATTGATTGAGGCTGACATCATTACGTGTGTGACATGCATCTTAACCAAAACAGTTGAGCTGTTAACTATTTGAATATGTAAAAAACAGAATGTGTGACATATTTTGAGTTTGGCAGGTTAAATTTAGCTTCATTTAAATATGTCAGAAACACACTTCAGGCATGTGATTACACGTGAGATTTATGTGTGTAAAAAAAGTTTCTTAAAATAGCTGCATCTGTTTTGAAGCCTTTTGTCTGAGGAGCTGTAAGCACAATTTAAACTGCTGCCTTCATGATGCTCAGACTCCTCTTTCAGTGGTTGATCAGTTTGAATGGGAAACTCTCTCGTTTGATGCTCGCTAATCCATTGATGTCATTAGCTTCCTATTAACCGGGTGTGATTTCTAGTTACAGTGGATTTACTTTGTGTAATTTTTCCATATTTTTTCTTCTGAGGCTCTTATTTGCAGAGAAAGGGCCATTTTCTGAACCAAACTTCACCTCTGTAATTTCGAAAATGAATTCTCCACCATCCCTGTCGTCTACCAATTACTTTTCTCATTCTGCCTGGATTTTATGGTCACTTCACGGTCGCACGCATGTCTCTTTTCTCCTTCGCCTAACCCCCCCTTGTCGCCTGTCAAGGAAACAAAAGCTATATGCAGGCTCGTAGATATTTGCTTATTGTATTTTATTTTTTAATTTTAGACTTATTGGTTGTCTGTATATGAATGTAAATGTTTTTGTGGACCAGGGTGGTACTTTACTAAGTCCTTGTTAGACCGACTAAGTCTTTCTACGTCTAATAAATGAGAAAATCTGTCTCAGTGTGATGATCATGGGAGGTTGGACTGCTGTCACCAGAGTAATTAACAAAAAAAAGGTTGATGTGTGTGAAGATGTGTGCTTCAGCGACCTTGAGAAAAACACCTCGGTGGAATGTGATTGATATGGGTGCCGGTTCTCATGATTGACCCCCTTCTGTGTTCTCCTTTTCTATCCATCCCTCATTCTGTTTCCTGTCTCCTCTTTTTCAATTCAGTTCACACCTGCAAACTTCTTTCCAAGTTCTTAGTGTCATGGCAACACAAACAAAAAATACACACCTGCTCGCTGTGCATCACTACAGTACATGTAGGTCATGTTGTCGAGATATCTACGTCTGTTACAGCAGCCATGAACACTCCTAGCAAAAGTCTGACGCTGTCTTTGAGGAATGGTTCAACAGCTTTAGAAATTTGAATTAAAAAAATATATATATTTAAATTTTATTTTTTACAAAAGGGTTAAATGAAGAGATTTTTACCAGTCGCGATTTTAAAGATAGACTGAAACCTGGAGGCAATTAGCCTAGCTTAGCATTAGACTGAAAACAGAGGCTGTGAGGTTGAAGTGTTTTGTTTAAGCGCAGATAGCTTTTTTTAAAGTGACATGAGAGCCAGAGTCCTTACTTCATCTTTAAGCTGTAGCCACTCAGTGTGTCTCTTCTTCTTCTTACATCTACCTTTTTCATATAAAATGTGCTCTTCAGGGTTACCATTCATATTCCAAGATGAACTACTTTTATCGCTTGATTTTAAAAATCATTGTCAGGATTTATTCCTGTTAGATTTAATATTTTCCAGTGTTTAGAATTGATTTCCTGTTTTATTTTGTATTGTTCTTCCCTCATGTTGCTTTTAATCCTGTTTAATCCATCTTTTGTTCATATTCCTGGTTATAGTTTCGAGTGTTTCCTGTTTTATTTTCTCATTTATACTCTCAGGTTTCTCTTTACCATGTGTGTGCATTTCCCGAGTCTTGCCTCTAGTGTTTCCTGTTTTATTTTGTAGTTCTTGTTCCCAGTGTTTCTTGTCTAACTTCCTCCCTTTGTCTGGTTTCCCTCCTTTTTTTGATTGCCCTGATAGTTTTCACCTGTGTCCTGTTAGTCAAAAGTGTGTGTTTGTCCCTTGAATGTAGTCGTAGTGTTTCTTCTCTTCTGTGTCAGTTCATTGTCTGATTTTACACGTGTTCCTGTGATAAAGTTTCCTAGTGGCTTTGGATAATTAAGTAAGCCTTTTTTTTTAAATAAATACTTTTGGCTTTCTGCATATGGGTCTTCCTCTCTGTTTTTTGACTCTCATGACAGTCATCAGTTAGTTACTGAGATGCATCCATAGTGCTGGACTGTAAAATGTCTGCACCAGTGGTTTCTGCTTACATCAGATAGTCCAGATTATGTTAAAGATGTGACATCCTTATGTAGTCATACTGCAGAACTCACCTGCCACTGTGTAAGTTGAAATTTCATTAGCCTAGCACAGATGTAGGAAGTGTTATTCATCAAATATTTTGTTAGTTTGTTTGAAAAAAAGGTTAAAATATGATTTCATGTTGCTATCATGAAGTCATATATTAATATCCTGTTAACAATGCTATCAACTTTTATGCACCATTAAAAAAAACAGTTGCTTATTTGTTTCCCCTTGTTCAAGTCTTCATGCTAAATTTGGATTATAACTTCCTACAACTCTATGTTTAATGCATAGTCAAGAGAGTGGTGTCAAACTTTCCATTAAATTGTGAAAAGACAGCAAATCAACATATTTCTCCAAATTTTGAACTATCCCTTTAGCATAATAATAGCTTTTACCTCCATTATATACTCAGCAGTCACATAGTACACACTCTCACAGCTGCACACACTAACAAAGCCTTGTTTGCCCATCGTTTGCATAATGCCAGTCAGAATGTCGCCACATTTCCCCGAGCCAGCATCCCTCTGTGTTTCCTCACCCTCCATTCAAGGTACGAACACATTAAGCTTGAACTCCTAATAGCTTGTGTGATGGATGCTGGAGCATAATGAGCTCTTTATGAGACTTAATACCTACTGTTAATCAATGGACATAGCAGGGCACTTTTCAATACTACCTTCTAAGCATTTTAAAATGAGCCCTCATTGAATAGATTGACTCACATTCTGTATCCGTCCCTCTTTTTTTTCTCTCCCTTCTCATTCTTCCTCCGTCCCAGCATGCAATTAGTTGCATCACATACCCTGAATCAAATGATGCCTGTTCCTTTGTAAGGCCCTTTCCTGCTCTGATATCAATAGGTTCTGTCCAGACTGAGAGATATTTTGATGAAAATACAACGCTACGCCGTGATGCAGTGGGTGGACCAGACTTTCCTCGGCCTGAAGCAATAGAAACATGGCTGACCTATTTATTACCATAAATATCCCATACAGGCAGCTGCTTGAAGCATTCCTGTCAATTACTGCTGGTTGTTGTATTGTTGTACTTTGATCTTTGGCTGCTAATGTAATGCGTCGCTCAGGGCCGCAGCGCCAGTATCATGCTGTATTAGCATCATAATCATGCATATACTCTCCATCCACAAGTATATGATTTGAATAGATTAAAAATGGGCCAGTTGTGATGTAATCGCACTGGACAGATCAGATGTTAACACAGCCAAGGTGAAGACTTATTGCACATGTTTAGCTGTGTTACAAGTTGTTTTACAGGCTGCGTCAGGGCCAGTTAACAATGTGATGTCAGCACAGGTACCTCCTTACTGTACATGTGCATTTGGGTGTGTTTTTTTCTCTTCTGGTGTTTGTGACGATGTGTGTATGTGTGTATCTGCATCTGGCTGTGTTTGATTATCCCTTACAGCCTCTATGGGAGCGGGATTCATTCTCACTCTGATAATGAGGGAGAGACTAGCAATGCCCTCAAGTCATTTCTCCTCTTCTTCCATCCTTCCTGTTGCATCCGGCCGCCTTTTATTTCTTTCTCACCTTTTTTCCAGCCTCGATAATCTGCGTCTCTTTTCCAACCGTTCTGTCTGCGTTTCCTCTCGGCTTCCGACATACTTTTTCTGTGTCTTTTGCTCTACCTCATCTTGTTATCAGTGTTTTCTGTGTGTATGTTTAACTCCAGGCGTCTCTGACTTCAGGTGTCTCTGACTTAAGGATGACTGCTACATGTTTGATCACTCTCTGCTTTCTATCATAGATTTAAATGCTGGCTGACCATTTTTCATCAGCGTGGTCGATGGTTGACTATACCTCTGTGGACCAGAGCTCTGGCAGCTCTGTTTCTCCCCACAATAGCCTTACTTATCCCGCATCAATAGTCCAATGTTTAGTATATTTGCCTGGTTGCTCAAATGTCCATTCCCTGCTCTCTTACCTAACTTTCCCCATAGATCCTCCAGGGAGTGCAAAGCTAGAGTGAGTCACAGCAGTGCATCCATTAATTTTATACCTTGTCTTCTCCACTCTCTCCATCTCTTCCTCTCTCTCTATCTCTGTTTTCCAGGTGACTGAAGTGGAGACTGACATCACGGAGGCCTGCTAGGAGGCCCCTCCATCTTCCCCCACCACCCTCCTCTCCTCCTCCCCCACCTCCTTCTCCTCCTCCTCTGCGCGCATCTCTTGTTCTCCCTGCATCTCTGCATCCCCTCCACCTCCACCAGACCTCAGCATGGATCTGAAGGACCGCAGGCACCGCTCCCTGACCAGGGGTCGCTGCACCAAAGACTCTCAGTACAACATGTCCTCCCTGGACACAGACGAGTGCCGTGTGCCTACCCAGAAGTCCTACAGCTCCAGCGAGACGCTCAAGGCCTTCGACCACGAGCAGAGGCTGCATTACGGCGGCTGTGTGACTGACCTGGTTCACCACGAGGCCGATGAGTACTCGAGGCAAGGTAAGGTTTGTGAGGCATCTCCTTCAAATGTTTACGTCACTGTAGTTTTGGCTTTGAACCACAGTGCTGGACTGGAGAGAGAAAAATTTAGAAAAACAAACCAGTTAGAGAAATTTAAACTCTTTGGCTTATTTCTTTTTTTTTGTCACTATAAATGAGTGACAATGGAAAACTACTCTAATAACTGTATGCTAACTAAGGATATCTTAGCATACAAACTGATAAAAGGGGAAACATTGACCAAGAAAAAAGTATTTTATATGTTTTATAACAAAAGTAAGAAAGATAAAATGGGAGTTCTCTGCAGATTAGCAGTGTTTTTTTTTACACTTTTCTGGGGAAGTGTTCCCCTTCCTTCCCCTCTTTATGCTAGGCTAAGCTAACAACCTGCTGTTGCTCATATATATATATATATATATATATATATATATATATATAGTGAAGTGGGATATCAATTCAGAGTCAGTCTTCCCAAAGAAAAATCAAATTGCCATGTTGTCCTAGATGTTGATTAGTTTATTCAAGGTAAATCATAATATTGAGAAGTATGGAAGATGATTTTGTTCTGTGGTTCCAGGGACTCAAAATACTTACAATACAACAAATAACGAAGGCTGCCAAATGCAGCCAAATGGCAACAACTAGAAGCTCAAGGGCGTAGCAATTTCCTGTCAGATTTTACCAATTATTTCTGCTCTCAGTGCAGCTCCAGTAGGCAAGTCATTTTCCTGTCCAGCACATATGGTCGATGAGCCGAGCATAGCTCAACACTTTTAGAGCCCTTCCAGTCCTGTTTTTGTGATTCCTACATTACTTTTCACATCTGCTTTCACACATTCAACAGTCACTATGTTGCACATGTAAACATTTTCCAGCTGCATGCTACTTTTAGCTACTGTGTTTATCGTGAGGCCTCTGTGGCAAGCTGTTAATGTAACCAGAAAGTGTAAATGCTGCACTTTGCAGCAGAGGACCAAAGCAGACCTTTAGCTCAGGCAGGCCTGTCATAATGAACTTCTGTATCCCCCGGTGAGCAAGTTAGCCGATAGGCCGATAGGTCATCTCTATAGGGGTGGGCCTGCTCTCATAGGCATGTCTTTAAACTGTGTGTGTTTGTGCATGCGTGTTTGTGTGTATGTGGACAAGTGTAGATGGCACAGGGACATGAAACAGGCATTATTGATCCCTGGCTAGTGAAAGGAGTCAGGCTCAATGGGATTGATCTGTGCTAAGCTCTGTTTTCTCTGCATGGACACAGACAGGAGAGGGGGAGAGCTCAGAGTAATACAGCACAACAATGCAGGCGAGAGAAAATAACAGTAAAATACCTCACAGAAATAAATAAAGAAATCTTGAAGAGTCCTTGATGGTGTTTTTCTTCATTAGAGTCAGAAAAAAAAAGGTAAGGCTTGCTGTTGAGGTTTCACGTGTACCTGTGTCTGCAGGCTTTAAAAGAAATGGATCAATCTGACAGGTGTTTAAAGAAGAAAATGTTTAATGGCACATGCACAGGGAAGAGGTGTTGCTTTTAAAGACGAAAACAACAGAGGAGCATACTTTCTTCCACAAAGGGGGAAAAAAAAAAGTGTAGGAAATGGAGGATTGATTGGCGGGACGTATGTACGCCTGGAAGTCAGTGGTGTGTGCTGTACGGACACACTCCACTGCTGCACCGAGCTGACCTCACACCGGGCAATAGCTGGTCGATATCACAGTCCTCTCAGCCTATCAGCTCCTTTGAAAGCCCAGAGCCACAGATGCATCGTGGGAAGTGTGGCCACAGGAGACCAACAGTGTTGCCGCACCATATGGACTGTGACACCACGGGACGAGGAGAAGTGCTGGAGGGAGGGAGAAAGAAAAAAAGGAGTGAGAGCGAGAAAGACGCAGCCAGAGAAGAAGGAGATGAATAGAGTTTTCTCCACTTTTCAGCTGCGTGTTTGTCTAACTAATACACGAGACCAAGAGGGATATCGAATGTGTTCCCCCCTTTGAACAGCTTGTAGTTTAAAAGCAAGATTGTGAAAGAAGGCCGACTTTAAATTCTTCAGAAGTAACAAACAAAAATTGGACACAGGGCAGAGAGAATTCAGATGTCCTTGTTGCTTTGTTGAAAAATCCAACAAATGATTTGAAGGGGAGATGTGAAATTGGAACTGACCTTTGATATTAGTAATTCATGCGCTGATGGGGCCACAGAAGAAAATATGATTAACTTTGATTAAATTATAATGATGTTGTTCTTTGGTTGGCTGAGCCATCATGCTGTTTCTGCCTCTTGTCGAGAAGTTTTGAGGTCATCCAAAGCTATTCTCACACTGTATTTTCGCCTTTATGGTTTTTGTTTAGGGCAACTAATTAACAGTTCTGTGTGTGCTAAAGCATACTGTATTGACTCGCCCTTACATTGTTATTAAACCTCATGTGTGAGACAAAAAGGTGTGAGTCAAGCACAGGTGGGACTGGAGCACCCTGTGAGCTTGTGCACCCACACATGGATAAACACAAACAGGAACTCTAACAGAGTTACACATTGAGTTATTGACTCGCCTACAGTAGTTTGGGGAAAAGTTCATACTTCACTGACATTTATCTTGATGAATTTCTCCGTTTTTGTTGCTTGTGGCTTCATTATCCTGCATGTTCAGAGTAAACACTGCTCAGGCACGAATGCAGGCGCGGAGCACATTTGACAAGTCAATTTTTTGGCCTTTTTTTCTTCATAATTTTGAAAGATCATTTGCATTGAGTTATGCAGTGCAAATTATTAGGAGTGCAGCAGATGTCCTGAGGATGTTTCCTGAGCCAAAATCAAAGATCTTGGGAAGTGACTCTAATGGAACAATTTTCTTCAATTATCAAAATAATCTTTTAACATCAGAACAAAAGGTTTAAGATAGATATTTCATTTAAGTAGGTTAAATAATTTATAGATTTTACCGCAGCATTAGTTCATGTGCTCACGTGTTCTGCTACATCTAGCTGTCCTTGCAGTCTAACCACAAAGCTATCATTGCCTTCTAAAATAACTTGCTTATTGCACAACATTATGCATGACAAGCTTCACTGGAATTTCAATGTTTCCTGAAGCATAAATTCATCTTAAAAAGGAACACCATCTCCCTTTGGAACCACATTGGGAGTGTGTTTGGAGACTGTAAATTTGTGTTTTGTGACTCTGGTGCCTTCAGCAAGAACTCTTCTCTGTGAATTTTACCTCCCAGTCCATTAGGAAACTGTTTTCTGCTCCGAAAGGACGTGAGTGGAGCTGATGTCAGTGACCTTTATTTAGGCCCACCCAAAATCTACTTATGTATTCCTCCTTCATCCATCAGTTTCATCCTGCTCCAACCATTTTTGAATTTGTTGGCCAAATTATGGCGCAGTTTTGTAGCTGCCTTTGAAGGTACATCCAGTTTCAGAAAGTTTGTTTTCTGTTATGTATTTCTGAAGGATGCGAGTATTGTGCTGACTGCAAATCTGCATAAAATAAAGCCTACAGCCACAGACTAGACTTTGCAGCCCAGATTTCTCCTTTGCATCTCATATTTTCCATCCATCATCTTTACCACTTTTCCTCTTCTGGGTCACATGAGGGGCTGGAGTCAATCCCACCTTTCATTGGGCGAGAAGCAGAGTGCATCCTGGACTGTTCGGCAGTCAATCAGAGGTAGAGGAAGCCAGAGTACCTGGAGGAAACCCACTCAGAACATGCAAGCTCCACACAGAGAGGTCCTGTCTGACGGGGATTCTAACTAGGGGCAACAGCACTAACCACCGTGCAGCCCTGTCTTATATTTTCACAAATGTAATGTAGATGTGGAAAATTTAGCCGACCCAAAAACTGAATCAGAAATGTTCTACACCTGCAGAGTCACCAATATATCAGATTAGTCCAGGGATTCAAATAAGTTTGAGCCCATTGGAAGCTGCTTCTCCCCTGTTACCTCTCCACAAGTAATTGGCTAACACGACCACATTGTACAGTATTGATTGAATGGCATGAATCCTGTTAGCGAGTCAGTCTTATTATCCTGTTACTCCTGAAAACAGGTGAAAATTACACTTGTTTTGTATGATATATTAATGGATAATATTGATATCCCTATTTCAAATTCTGCAGCTTTACCAGACTGTTTTATTCACATTCCTGAGCATGTGCAAAATTCAAGTCGACCCCTTTTCTTTGCACTTCATTTCCAGTGTTTAACCGCGCGCTGTCCCGAACGTCTCCTTGCAGGATTTGATAAAGCGAGTTTGGTTGTGTTTTCCAACAGACCCCCTGCTTACAGTGCATCTCAACTGCACTGTTTCCCCCATTACACACTTATTGCTTTGTCTGCTTGGATAAGCACAGCTAAATAACACTTTCTCCCCTAACCATAACATGCAGCAGCCTGGAAAGCCAATTACAAGTGTTCACTATTTAACACCACAGAGCAGCACATTTGAAATCTACAGTGATCATAATAAGACAGAGGTTCATTCGTGATATACAGAAATATCAGAGGAAGACTTTCTTTTGCATTGTGACTGAACGTTTTCAATGTTGTCGCTTTTTTTCTGTGAGTTTCTTCAGGTTTGTTTTTGTCCGATATGCATTGTTCACCGCTCACCAGATAATCCCATGACGAGCATGCATGCACGTCAATACACAATGAACAATGTGTGAACTCTAATAAGCCACTCTGGGCTTTGCAGAGGAGCACAATACACCACTTTTGTCCTTTCACCTCTTAGCCGTTCTGATCTTTTCATCCATACAATACATCTTCCTTACCTCCCATTCAGCATATTCCCCGGTGTGTGTCTTCCCTGCAGGTCCTCCTCTGGACACCAGGCATTATCACAGCCATAGCTGTCTCTGGAAGCTTTAGCCTTTCATTTTAGGAGGATCTAAATGAGCCTCTCTACATTCTCCTCTGCTGCTTTGCCCCAAGGGGAAGAAACCACACAGAGAATCCTGCAGCCACCTGCCAGCTTTGCTACACGGACAACAC